CTTTGTAAATATCTAGGGGTTACTTATTCAACCCAGATGGAGTCCATAGGATCAGGAAGGAGTTTTAACTCATACTTTTGTTGGTTATCTTAAGAGTATCTGAGTGAATTCTAAACTTAGCGGTGCTATCTCAAACCGTTTTAGATCAATAAGCTCGAAATTCATCATAAGCATGAATTATGGTTGAATTTTATCATGATTATCCTGAAAATTATTAAAGTTTAATTGCGACACTTTCCACTTCAATGTCAAGACTTCGCGTGTGTTTTCCACACTCAATGTCACAGTTAGCATTTTTAAATTTGATTGTTGCAACATTTTTAAAAGCAGGTTTTTGTAAATTAAGATAGTTAGCATATGATTTCTAACTTCTTACAGATCTTCAATTCACAAAGGGAATTGTGGTTCCACTGCATAATCCCAACATATTCTTTGAAACTTTCGTAGAGGGTTCTACTTCTATACTTCATTTTCTTTCACAACTGTTAACTTAGACAGTTGAAGTTGACTTTGAAGATTTTGAGTGTTTTTTTTCGCAAACAATGCAGGTGACATTTTAGACTTTTGATCTGCACTGATCACGCATTAATGCATTAACGAGAGGAAAAGTATCGATTCACGAAAATTATAATTACGTTCTGTTTAGAAATCAAGATTAGATTTCTTAATGACGCACCACTTAAACGTGAATCATTCTTTAAACTTTACCTTTTATGGAATGCAGCTTCTTAAGATTCTTTATTTCTTACTCAATCTAGCTGTTTCGTCTCTGAATATTTCGTACCTGACGACATAGTCCTCTGCCCTAGCTAACAAATACACATCAACGAACAGAGGACGTGAAATCTGCCAACCGTTTCGCCGTATGTCAATATGTTTGTTCTTCACAGACCGAGTTCTCCATGCCCACAGCTTCTTACCAATTCCACCTCCTCTTCTCTTGCCTATCGATCAGTTCCCTTTCTCCAATATGCTCAGGGTCTCATGAAGTTCAGTTATCTCACTTAGAGATGGCTCTTGTATCCTGTTTGTCTTCGAAATATGGTTTGATTTCACTACAGCTTCAATTGCTGGCAGAAGAACCTAATGAATATACCCGACAAGGCAGAACCTAACCTCGAATCTCAAATAGTTTGTAAATCAAATCAATTTTTAACAGGAAAAGATTAAAAAGAAAGCATTCAGTCGAGTGATTTCCGGTGATAACCGTTACATTTTCAAGGTCAAGCACACAAAACCATCTAATTATATAATCCGATTGTTCTTTGACGATCGCAACGACGTTTACAAGTAGGAAAGATTCGAACACCACAAATCATGCGCAGAACCCAAATATAGCAAGCTAACATCAGTTAATCATGCTAAAAGGCAATAATTTAATGTTAGTTGACTGGGTGGTTTCAATGTTTCGGGTCGGTTCTCAAACCTTTCAAATCACTTTATTTATTCATGCTGCATTCCAGGGCTCCTAAGTGGTGCACAATCGGTGCTAACTCCTTTATCATTCTACATTTTTCAGCTACGGATAATAAACCCATACATTTACCTTGGTCATTCTTTTGTCTTCGAACCCGTTTGATACACCTGTCTTCTTTCCAAGATAATATTTAAGTAAAATTAAATAGAAAGCAATGAGATATAATCAGTAGAATAGGTAACTACCAGTCTTTGCTTAACTAACGTCTTGCGCAAGGATATAGAAACACGCTCTCTGAAATCACAAATGCTTAAATACTCTTTCGTGTAATTTCTATCGAAACGGTAAATTATTTGGATAAATCATGCCGTTTTAAAAAAAACTTTTCAAGTTTATTCCATATTATCCGTACTAACAAATCCAAAAGATCCGAGATGAACTCAATTCCATGAAAAATTACTTCTCGTAATCAAACAGTTGTGGGATACGTTATCCCTCTGTGCGTCATCGTATGCCCGCATGTCTGCTCGCCAGGTTTGGGAGGTGCGGCCGTACAACTCTGTGTGCAGCAACCGTACAAACAGTGACCAATCATCAACCTCTGTTTAACCCAATCCCTCATTCTGATCATGAGTAGCACCCTGCGTGTACACACTTGATCAATCCTGATCATGAGTAGCTCCCTGCGTGTACACCTTATCCATCCTGATCATGAGTAGCTCCATGCGTGTACACTTGATCCTGATATACGTACTGAATAAACGTATTCCGTGCTACACGTCTGCTTCCCTGCTACACATCTGTTTCCTTTATAGCTGGGCTATAGCTTAACTGGTTCTGGGAGACTAGCTAGATGTTGGAGAATCTGCCATAGAAATTTCTGAGCCGGTAGCTAGATGTTTGAGAATCTGCCATGGAGATTTCTGAGTCGGTCTGCTAGATGTAGGAGGTGAGTCGGTCAGGCTTTACTAGCGTAGCAATCCGCTACAATCTATTTACATTGCATACACCTAAACAACTTTTGAGACCCCTAAACCTACACATGTTGCCAACCCCTCTCGTACGCTGCCTGCATGACTATGCTGAAAGCGAAGAAATGTCTTTTTGGATAAAATTTGTTGTCTGCTATGAATGACGTCGTAAACACCCGGGGAAAAAGAGTGCCTATCAAATATGTGGAATTCTTTCGCTTTACCAACTATTACTAATTTGAATAAAGTTAAATTGAACGGAAAGTGGGGAATTTATTGCGTCACAGTGTTCTACCCTTACTAATCAACGTTATAAACCAAAAAAAACTTAAAATGTCCAATTCAAAAGCAAACAGATGTCACAAGTAATAAATTAAACATCTCAACCAAATTGTACACAAAATATCAGACAAACATCATCTCACGTGAAATTGAGCAGAGGCTAAAACCAACTAAAACACGGATTTGCTAAATTCTTTCCTCAACCTACGGTAGAAACAATGAATTCGAACATTAAGATAACGTAAAATCAATACGTCGAAATAAATGGATTAATTATTGATTTGCACAGCAATAAAATCTGTGACCAAGTTTAAAAAACAAATTTACTTATGATTACCATGAAAGTGACAATTGAGATGATTCAAAGTAAGGACTACATAATCAATAAGAACACAAAAAAAAATCCAATTTCAGCACACAGAAATTAAAGAAAAGCCTACTTATATCCATCAGCATCCTTCGTCAAGTTGACAAGAGACACCAGGGGTAGTGAGTATTGAACCCCATTTGCAGTAGCTCTCAACCCCACACTGGCACAATACCCATCAAGCATTCCACTTTCCGAACCCTCTTTGAGCCCTGTGGGAGGACGCGAATGAATTTGCCCAATAACATCGGCTTTTTGGCCGGGAGAAATGTAGTATGTGAGGCAAGAGAAACAGCCCCCTGTGCGTGGTACAACTTGGCCCACCGCCGATCCATTTACACATTGTGCCAAGCACTCAACATCACTAGCAGTGTTGGCAACCTTCATAGAACTCCCTCCTGTCAACTCCAGACTCATTGGAGTAGCTGGATGAGGAAGGTGGTTACTAACTGCCGTTGTCAAGGCAATCAGATCCTGTTCTAGTGCTTGCAGACAGAGATAGGCTCGACATCGTTGAGCTCTAGAATAAGTGAGAAAAAGTTTATAAGAGTATCCAAAAAACTTACGTTTCACCTGGAAGATTATATAGGGCAATAAGATTCTTAACGTGTTTCCAGAGGGAATAATAGATACGCGTTCGAAGTTCATCAGCAAGAACACGGCACTCAGTTGGCTTATCCTGGTTGAACTCGAAGTGTACTGTAGCAACACTGACTGGATAATCCTCAGGAGGGGTTGTGCCAGGAGGGAGACTATAGCCATCCGCAGGAATAGCTGAAATTACAACAGAAAAGCAGTCTGATGTAAGTCGCCATGCTATACCCCCTGTGGATGAAGCACCAGGAGGTAGAAGAGGACCAGTGTCTGACAGTTGAAGATCATAGTGTTGAGCGAGAATGAAAAGTTGATTTCGGAGCGTGGCAAATCGGACATGACTACGATAGAATTCAGGTGTTTTTGATCGAAAACGAGAAACTGCAGCGATACCATTCTCGATCACTTTTCGATATTCTGCCAAGCTATCAGGATGAGTCTAAAATATAACGTTGAAATAGATTAATACGGGGAGAAAAAGAACACCAGACGAACAAAAGCCTCTTGGTAAATTTTAATAGAAGAAATTTTATGAAGCTCAAACTATCACCATATTAGGTAAAATGCAGTCTGATGGGTAAAACAGATAACGAAAATTCTTTCAAATAAACGAAGATCTCATAAGTGACAGAAGGTAAAATAAACTCAGCAAGGCCGATTTAAAATGCAATAAGGTAAAAAAC